GTTACAGGTTCAAATGCACTCGCCATATTTTGTGGAGTACGCTGGCGGGTTGGATCATCAGTTTCTTTGCCACCTTCAAGTACACCTTTCACTCCTGAAGCTTGAGGAGCTTGAGGGTTTTGAGAATTAGCAGCTTGGTTGACGGGCTGAACCGGTGCAGGACCCACAGAAGTGGTCTTCTGCATCATTTCCATCATAACCGTCATCTGAGTCATCATCTCAGTCATTTTATCATTCAACTGAGAAATTTCTCTATCTTTCTTCGGCATTTGTTGCCTCATTTGATTTCTTATTTCAGCGAGTGTGATATCTTCGCCAGCGAAGGGGTTTTCTCCGACTTCTTCTTCTTCCTCATCTCCTTCTTCTGAGGAGCGAGCACTTCGGCTGGCAATGAATCTAGCCCTATGGCGACGTCGATAAACACGTACGTGTGGCTGTGATTGCTGGTCTTCTTCATCACCATCATCATCTTCAACATCAATGTGGCTGACCATACGAACCACCTCGATCTCCATAGTGTCTTCATCACCATATTCTTCTTCATCTTCTTGTATCTGAATTTCTGAGCGGCGGCGCCACTGAATTTCAGGTTCTTGATTTGGGATGATTACTTCTTCGATTCGCGGGCTACGATCGAAGTGAACTTCCTCTCTAGCTAAAGTAGGAGAATGACGAGATCTCCTGGAAGACTCTCCAGGATGTCGATCTTCGTTATGATTGTTGTCATTATGGGCCTTCTTTTGGACCCATCTCTGACGAGTTTTGTTAGAAGGGGCGGATCTCCGGGAGGCTGTTCCGGATGTCACACCCAAACTAATTCTTTCTTCAAAGATATTTTCTCTTCGAGGCTTCGACCTCCAAACTTGCTTCCCTTTCCACCGGGACCTTTCGACGGCGGATCCCCGAACATATGGTTCAGGTGTCACGCCCCAATGCTTACCGCGTGGAGCTTGTTGTCGGTAATCCCTTCTTTCAACTATCACAGCAGATGATAGTCTATCTCTTGGAGGAGTTCTTCGGGCCTCAACAATCAGTGGCCTCTGGAACTTCTTTTTCATTAAGCCCTTCTCCTTGACTGTCTTCAGTACACGGTGTACCTGGGCAGACAGACATTCGGGCTCTTTTATCTTCTGAGGGGCCGGGGCTTCAGGTTGACGCTCCCAAAAGGATTGCTTGAGCTCACCAGAAGAGCTGTTTCTTTTGATCCACTTCAGGTAAGAAAACCTGTTCTGAGTGGGAATATTGACTTCTAGTTCTGGTGCTGGCAGGTTGGAGGGATGAACTGGTACTGTCAGCTGCTGAGCATGTAGCTCTGCATTTCTTTTCCTCCTTTTCCTTCTGTTAAACCTTCCTCCAAATGAGGAAGCTTCAGCATCATACCTCCCAGGTGCAACAGGCTCTCTGGGCAGGGTAGTGGTGTTTACAGTCACCACAGAAATTTTTCTTCCAGTAACAACCCTCTTTGCAGTAAGGGTCTCAGATTGGGATAATCTTTCAAACACAGAAACTCTTCCATGGGCAGCGCCTCTGGCAGTAGTCCTTTTAGAGTGGGACCTTCCATAAGGTTGTTCAGAGTTGACGCCGTACACAGGGACGGCTGCAGCCCTTGCAGTAGCTGCTGAGAATTCGAGTCCACCAAAGTGAATAGTGGCTCTAGTGTTTCCAGTTTCTATGACAGCATTCTTCAGTTGAATTCTGGCTCCTCGTTCCAGTTGGACGGTCATCGGTGTGTCCTGCATTTCCATTCTGCAAAAATGAAAGGCAGGGGTTAGTAATCATAATTGATACATCACCCCACGCTTTCATAACAAAGAAATAACGCAAAACAAATAATAGAAGCAGGAGAGTTAACATGGAATTAAAAACCCTGCTAAACAAATTTCCATTGATCTTATTTAAAAGATTTATTTTCAGGAAATTTAAAATTTGATTTGCTTGCTACTATAGCCTTTTAAGTGACTAGCCAGAGATGGAAAGAGAAACCATTCCCCAGCGGAAACGTAAGAAATCTGTGGGCTCCAAAAATTCGGCCCCGGCCTCCGCTCGCTGCGCTTTTCTTTTTATTCGACGAGGGAGTTTTAACAGAATAAGTTCCGGGGTAAATTTTGGAAGGCAGATGGGTTTGTAGATAAGACACTGCCCAGAGATTTCGCCCTCATTTTGCGAGGACTTTATGATCTGAGTTCTGGTTTCCTATAGGCGCAAGCCCCTATAGTTAATTACCCCTCCCGATCACGAGAGAGAACTTTCGATTAAGGCTAATCGTTGATCTGATACGCAGAATACACGTGGTATCTAGCATATAGTAGCAGCAATGATTGGATTTGAAAAATTTGGAAAATTTGATGGATTTGGATGTTCGAGAATGATTGAAAATTTGGGAATTTGGAGATTTCAGATGTTTGGAATTTCTGAGATTTCAGATGTTTGGAATTTGGGTTAGGAGATTTGATAAATTTGATATTTAAAACTGGAATTTTCACCATCTGGAACTTAAAGCGGATGGTGGGGGAATGGATGATAGACCCGATCAAGATCCCATGGTTCCGTCGTCACGGGCCATCGTGATCCCTGATCTACTTAGTCAGAGGAGGTAGTCAACCCAACCTGACAGAAGGATCCTTGTCGGCAGCCACGGGTTGCTTTGCCCAAGGGGACCTTGTAGACCGGGGTTGGATGTTTGTCTAAGGGGACAAATTTGAATCCACCTTAGCTTACAGAGGGCTTTGTGCCTTATCGATCATATCATATTGATTCATATCTCAAGGATTTGATGCCAATAAGGAGCGCATTGGCTCTGGCCATAACCGATATCTCGTGGTGCCATTTGGCGGCAAAACCACTCGGTTCAGAGGGCCCCGGGTCATAACCGTTTATCCTGCGGTGCCATTTGGCCGCAAAACCGCCGGTTAGAGGACATGTACCACGTCCTTACTGGCAGGAGATTGTTTGAGAATTGATCATAGTAATATTTTCGACTAAGCATTTGGCTCTTTGTGAGCAGAAGTAGATTTTGATTTGTCCATCTCGACAAACTATTGCGTAGGTGGATGGATTTTGCTTTAAGCGTTGATGGATAGATTTCAATTTTAAATATTTTAGAATTTGAGATTTGTGGAGTTTGGATTTTGAATGGACTTTTGGGAGGCATTTGAAAATGCTTGAAATTAACCCCTCCGGTTGAGATCATCATTCAACACGGCCATCATCGAGGTGTCTGGGGTCATTTCCACTTTAGTTGATTGAACCCTATCAACTCGACCGAGCTGTTGATCGAGGATCGGGTTTCTCGCAGGCTTTGTGCCTTTTGTTCATGAATTTTCTTCGTTGAAGGCCTTGAAGGCCGAATATGAATGTATAAGATAAATATTCCGGTCGACTTCGTGACCGCATATTTATCCGATGATTCGAACCCTGTCTACACCTATTTACATGCTTAGGAGGATCAGGTTTCGTAGGCTTCATGCCTTTTGTTTAGTGAATTCTTTTGATTGTAGGCCTTGAAGGTCTAATATGAATGTATTTAAATCAATACACCGGTCACTACAACCGTGTATTTTTGTTTGGAGGTTCGAACCTTGTCGACTTCTATTACTCCGTGTAGAAGAATCAGGTTCGAACTAGAATTCACTTATCGGCCCGCGCAGCATCTCTAGGCGTCACGTGTGTACCAATAACACGCTCGTCGGGGCCCATGCGGGTGTTTGATTGTATACCCCTTTAGTGTACCTATGTGTATACAATTTATAGTGCACGTGCAGGGGTACTTTGAAATTACTTGTGGTTGTGCAGATAATTGACATTTGAATACACAACATTTGATTTCAGAGCTTATACACGCCTTCTGTCCGCTAGTATGAGTGTTGCGGATCCGGTGGCGTCATTGTTTGGATGTCATGAGGTATTTCCCCATCTTGACATTGACTCCCCCCTTTCTCATTCACCGGGGAAGAATTTTTTGGATTTTGGAGTCAAAGACTGCTGATTTGGAAAGAACTCCTTTTATGCTCTTCGACGTAATGGACTTGTTATTTCCAGTGTTGGTGGCCACCCGAACTGTTCTCTTCTTAATTATAGAACCATAAAGAGACTTTGGAACACCAGGAAGTTTGGTTCTAATTTGTTCAAATATTTCTTTTTTGATTTTGCAAGGGAGTGTACTTTTCGTACATCGAGCTACTTTTGTACCCGGTGTACTTGTAGATTTTGACCATCACTGTCATAGGTGATATCCATACTTGTGTCCACAGTAGTTCACTATGCTCTCGAGGTTCTCACTGTTGTTATCCACAAGTGGTTTGTAGTTATTTGCAGGGGACTGCTGTATCAATTATGACCTCCTAGAAGTATTCGTAGGAGAGCCACTATCCTTTAGTCACGACCACCTTTCACCAATCTCAGGTGGTTTTGTTAATTGTACTTATTTACAGGGGACGGTCCTCTTTCATACACCGGGCTGCCCTTGTACTCGACATACTTGAAGATCTTGATCACCACTGTCGTAAGTGATATTAGTACTTGTGTCCACAGTGATTCATTGTACTTTCAATACACTGTTGTTATCCACAAGTATCTATTTGCAGAGGACTGTTGCATCTACTACGACCTACTAAAAAAATGTTTGCAGGAGATTCATTCTTTCTGCATTATATCCACCCTTTCACCAATCTTGAGTGGGTTTGTTGATTGTACTTGTTTGCAGGGGTGGATCTTTGATTGCTGGTCTCCAATATTACCATCTCAATCAACAAGCCCTTGTAGAAATTGTCGTAGGAGATTCCAACAGTATATGTAGGAGGGACAACCGTATATTCTACGGCCATTCATTATTCCCGCAGTATGATGCTCCCGATCTCGTAGGGACTGTTGTAAAAGTCCACTACATTCTTTGTTTATACGTGTCGAGGTCTTGTTCAATTTTTAGTGTATTCCACACTTAGTAAATTTGAATTTGAGTCTGAGTGTATGTTCAAATGATTGCTCGAACTTAACATAACTTGTTTCCTTTGATAGCATTGTCTCAGTCCATTGACAAACCTTGACAACGGATCATGCCGATCTCCTGTCCTATCATTTCAATACCATCATCAGCGAGTAATGTGACCCCTGATGAAGTCACCGTGAATGGAAATGCTAGTGGTGGAGAGAACGGGGATTTTGCCACCTTTATAAATTTCTGACCTGCAGTAGAGTTTTCCCAAAGAAACAACTTTAAGTAGCTGGTTGAGCTATTTGCATACAACATCAAGCCTTTATCCCACTACGTGGGGTCGGCTATATGAATCCTTTTTCTCCATTGTGTCCTATTAAAAGTCAAATTCTCGTTTAAATCTAATAAAGAAAGGTCATTCATAATATTTTCCTACCAAGTCTTTTTAGGTCTAGCCCTACCTTTCTTAACATAAGTCAAATCTAATACCTCTACTCTCCTAACCGGGTCATCAGAAGGCCGCCGTTTTATGTGACCAAACCATCTAAGGCGACTCTCTCTAATCTTATCTTCTACTGGAGCTACTCCAACATGTCATTATTATTCGACAAGTTTTACGCTGGCTGTCGACTACCTAACGCAACCCTCCACTTTTCTCATCCAGGACTTGGGAGCTGGCAATGGCAATGTTAAAAAAATTTGGAGGCAGCCTTTGCAAGTTGAAATGCTCAGAAAAAGGACCGCAATGCTTTAGTTCCTAACTTCATATGAAGAAAGGGATATCAGGTGCATGAAATTCAAGCCAATATAGAGTCTACAGACACATATATCAAAAATTGAAACCTTCGTATTGAATTGGGCCTAATTTAACCAGTATTTCAAACGCACCTATAAGCATGAGAAGAGGACTGCTAAAATTATGAATACTTGAAGAATATTTAAGTTTGTAGGAGAGGATGAAAGGCTAGCAACTTCAAATTTCAAACCAAAAAACTGTATTTCAACCAGACTTATATGTACACAAAAGATGGTAAATTTGAAATGTCACGCACCCTCAAAAAAACAAAGATAGAATCAATAAAAAAAAAAAAAAAAACTCCATGTAAATCAAAGTTTGAAATAGTTAATGGTACCCAATGAAGACTAATTTTTCTCAAACCTACTTCGGTCTATTTCTCAATACAAATCAATGCCCAAGTTGTGCAATTGATGGATGCATACACCACTACCATGACTCTTTCAGGAAATTTTAAAAAAAAATTATGAACCTACATCCACGACTTACCACAAAAGAAAAATATGTATAATTAGCAAATCTGAACTGCTAATTCCTAGAAGCAGATTTGTTAAATGGAAGTTGGGTAAAAGCAAAGAATTATGTATGCATAACATATACAATATAACTTAGTTCCACTTTCGGATGATAATATAAGCAAGCAGTAGCAAGATAAAAAAAAAATTGTCAAAATTGATGGAGTGGGATGAGCAAATTTGAACTGCTAATACCTAGAAGCAGTTTATGATAAGTAAAACTGGGTAAAAGCAAAGAATCATGAAGGCATTAACTTAGTTCCACTTTCAAATGACAATATAGACAGCCAGTAGTACGGATACAAATTCTCTGTGAAATTGGAGTTGGAATTACCAAATTATGAAATTAAGGCACATTGAATGCTCAATGTACTACAAATTGATCATACAATTATGGAATAAATAACAGACCAAAACTAACTGAACATTGTGTACTCAATTTCATCTATTTTCTAGTTTTAATGAAGTTGTGACCATTGCATATGGGAACCAAGTACTAATAATACCTGAATGAGCCTCAAAGATAAGACGTATGGTTACCGCATGCGCCCATTGAATCCCCAAAGCAGCAACATGATGAGTCTCAAACTTCTCAACACTAAGATCAGTGTCTTTCCCTGCTAAGAGTTTTACGTGAAGATCCGATTTATTTAAATAATAAGACAGAGTCAGAAAATAGTCCTAAAGCAGGTTCAGAACACACCTAAAAATGAATACCGAGAGATTTCTTCATTGTTGTGACCACGCACTTGGTTTGTCACCACAATAGGTATACGAGAAAACTCGGCAATGGACCTAACTAGTAGTCATCAATCATGCTAATGAGGATGGAAAACATGAAGCCTTTAGAAGCCTCAAATTAATGCCAATATTAAAAGCGTACAACAAATAAAAGATGAGAGTTCCATACTTCAAAAATGAAAAAGGGCATTTCGGCGGATGACTCCCAGACATACTACTACTACTACTTCCTTTTTCCCTGCAATATGAACGGAAGAAATAAACAAAGCATGAAGCTCTAGTAACTTGATCATAAATATGTAGAGGGAGGAATTGACATTGAAGTATCATGTGAAATTAACCCAACTTCTAATGCCTGAGAGAGTTCTATATGACAAGCAGGATACTTTGCAGTGTCTGGAATCATGGAGGAAGGGAAGAGAAACAGAAATGCAACCAATGGAACAGTAACTTCCAAGAAGAAGAATATTAGTATTTCTATTCGATTATAGATGGGGTAACACTTGAATCACCTCGGCTCTTGGTGTTTCTGTTCTACTACCAACTCTTCAAAGGCAGCTAGAGTTCTTAGGTGACCACAAGTCCTCGTTACATTGATACAAAGGGGATTTATAGAAGTGCTCAGCACTATAGGACAAGTGGGGGCTTCCTAGTCACAAGGATCTAGGATGATCTTCCCCATAATCTTTTGGTTGCTCCACCTTCCTGCGGCTATTAGATCGGAATAAGATAGAGAGGAGTGTCTACTTACAAGCCATTGGGCAGTGTCAGGGAGAAGTGGACATATGGCCAACATAGGGCAGTTAATAGGATGGAGTGGCAGTTCACTAATCACTATAATAATGGAAGAAAAAATAGTGTCAGTTAAGCTATTTGTTGTGATGGCTTTTGGGTGGAGTGGCTGCAACATAGCTACTTTAAAATAGGGAGACATTCATCAGGCTGTAATTTGCGGGAACTTCCAATAGGCTCCTAGTGAAAGAAGTCTGAAATTATCCATTGCAAGATGCCGGTTCTTATCCTGAAAGGATGAATCACCATCCCTGGAGATAGCGCGACTCCTGAGATACTGTTATCTCTAAATTTAAGCTTGTTACATATCACCTTTAACACTATATAAGGCGAAGGCTCTAATACGTTGTTGAATGGATCCCATAATCACAAGCTAATAGAAGAAGAGGCAAGGAAATGGGAGAAAGGGCATAAAAATTTAGCCATAGTAAGGAAAAACCCTTGCAATAATGAAGAGAACAGAAGAAGAAACTCTCGCAATTGAGAAAGGAAGATAATAATAGCAGCAACGTGTTGACCTCAATTTTAGCTCGAGCGCCCTCGAGGGCCTTTAATTGACTTAATCGAGCCCCGTCGGGTCCAATTCGAACTCGAATCAACTTGAGTTAGGTCAAATTAGACTCGACGAAGTTCAAATAAATGTGATTAACGCCCATTAGCCTCTTTGAGCACTATTTGATCTAAATCGACATCGATTTGGGTTTGATTATGCAAAATTAATTTAATTAAATCGAATCAAACTTGAACCGGCTTGATTCAAACCAAATCGAGCTCAATTTGAACCCGAATGGACCCGAACCGAGCCGAATCAGATCTGATTTGAATCTGATCTTAGCTTAATTTGGTCGATTTAATTCTAATTAAGTCTTAATTGATTTTCTCGTAAAGTTGGATTTGCTCCTAAATAAAGAAGTCAAACCAACGGTAGAGATCTGATCAAAATTCAAATAAGGTGCCGTTGCTTCAATTGAATGGGGATTCCTCTTTTTGGCATGCATTGACCCCGGAGAAAAGATTGGAGCTGGAGGCTCTTGATTTTTCCTCACCTCCAAATTGGCAAGCTAGAGAGATGGGAGCCAGGGGGAAGCCATCTCCTCTTTTGTGAGGACAGCAGCTAAGGACGGCCAAGGAACGAAGCAAGAGCTGCTCCCATTCTTCCATCCTTCTTCGCTGAGGTGTCTACCTGTGTTTGGAGATTAGAGAAGAAAGAAACGGTCCAGGGAACTTTTTTTTTTTTTAATGTGAGAATTTGGGGCTGTGGGATTGAGCATGCATAGAATATCATCTCTCTGAACTAATTTTTCACATCTTCTTCTATCTTATGAATTAAATGGCTGCAGGCTCTCCTCCTTTCCAAGCTAGGTTGCCGCATCTCTCTTCTCCATTAGATTAGTCACAAATCATATCGCATGAACAAGTGATGATAGGTTTTTTTTTTTTTTTTAACCTTTTTATATTCAGTTCACTCATGCAAACTCTACCGTAGTGAAGACAATAAAAAAATGTATTTTTTTTTTTTTTTAAACCGTTTTGGAAATAAAACAAATGCAGATTATTATAAATTTTGCTCTTCAAATGACATGAATACCAATATTACCTTGAATAATGGGTAATTTGCTTAGATTCTCATAAAATCTTAGAGATTTCTCTTTAATTAGTTTATTTGAGCCTTGCCGATGCTTGATTTTCGTGATAGATTTTGAAACAAATATTTTGAACTTTCATGACTTTGTTTGTATTAGAGATTTGTATGAAAACTATGACTCCATCCTTTTGTAGTTGGGATTCATTCCGTAAGATAAGGCTAGTTTGAGATCGCTTACATGCTTGTGTCATCCGATTCACAAATTGCTTTTGTGAGATGAGCTTTGAAGGGAATTTTGGGTTTTTCTCAAATGTGATTTTTTTTTTTATTGAATCAACTCAATATTATGTTGCAGTATTAGGTTGTCTCCCTTGAACTTTGAAAATAATACAAATGCATGAAAATTTCTTTTCCATTATTTTCTTATTTTATTTTTATGAAATCATGATTGAAATATTGTCTTGAGATATGAAGAGAACCATTTGGCGTTAAGCCCACTTTCTTATGAACGTTGAGTTACAAGATTTATTGGGTTCTTTTGGGATGGAATTTACAAGTTTGTTTTGAGTCTATATAAGGATATATGTTACTCTTGTTGGATGGTCTTCTAGAAAAAAAAAAGATTTGGGAAGCCTTCGTGTATGCTTTTAATATGAATTTTCATACAAATTTGATTCATGCCTTGTATTGATTGAAACATTTTCACGAATTTTGGAAAGAATAAAATGGCCACATGAATTTTCAAGCTTAAAGAGAATATGTCATTTTCTGGTTGTCTTTCTTCCTTTCAATAATGCAAGATTCGTTTTGAGCCCTTGGTAAAATTGTTTGAATGCATCCGACATTAAAAGAAGCTTTGCGAGTTGTTTTGCATCGAGAAATTTTATGATATGCTTTGTGAATGCTTTACGATGGAAGATTTTATGAAGTTTTTTTCTGTTGGAGAACTTTCATGATTTTACCCCACACCAAATGCAAAAAGCACTTGATTGATTTTGCGTCAAAAAAGAGTTTTTTTTTTTGTATTTTGTTTTCTTTTCAATAAGGGGTTTTATGTGTTGTTTCATTTGGAGATTTCTTAAGTAAAATTTTGGGATTTGATGTGTGATAGGTAGCTTTGTGTTGGAAGCCTTTTTTTAATGCCTTTTTGGAGCATAGATTCCTTGCTTATTTGAGTTATTTTTCTGTAGTGTTGGCTTCTAAAGTGGGGTTTTTGGGTAAATGGGGATGGAGGCTCATTTGGAGTTTTGGTTTTGGGAGCTTGTCCCCCTTCGTTGTTTTTGGACTTTATTTAGGTAATAGTTTGGGTGATCGTTTTAAATATATCAAGTGATTTGTTTGGATTGTGGGGACAGCAAAAGACATTGAAAACTTATTCCTCCCTATTCATATCATATTGAATTGGGGTGAAGGTCGTTTTAGTGGCACACTTGGCTTCAAAGAAGTGTGCCCAACAACAACGATGCCTACATTCCTTTCATTTTGATTTTCATTCTTTTTTTTTTATTCCATTGCATTTTGCCGCATCTTTCTTCTCTTTTAGAATTTTCGTTGCCTTTCTTATTTTTGCTCTAAAGTTGAATGCTCGCAAAAGAATAAGAAAACCCAAATAGCAAGTGAACCATCCGATGTGCAAATGATAAAGAGGTACGTTCTTATTTAATTTGCACTTTTATTTTGATATTATTTTCTTATCTTATAGAACGTGCTCTAGCTAATACAACCCTTTGCTTTTCTGTGTCTTGCGAGATTGTCCTAAGGGTTAGAAAAACTTCTTTTTTTTTCGTCTCATAACTTTAGTGACACCTAAGGACAAAAATTAAGGACCGAGTCTTAGATAACATAAACTTATGGTGCATGTTCCTTTTAGGATAGAGACTTTAAAACATAGAAAACTTAGTGACACATTTTCCTAGGATTCGTGCCATCTTAGATTTAGGGTTCAAGGCTACTGCATCGGGTGTCTCGTAGTATGTTTAAATAGTGGGTAGGTCCCTTATCTTCAGGGACTATAAATCTTGCTTATCTGCGTTACATAGATGGTGTCACTTCCATCCTTTCTCTCTGTATGTCTTGAGTGTATGATTTTCTGTTTCTCCTCAACTGCCTCAGTCCCTCTGAGTGTGGATGTGAGCCTTGCATGTTGATTAAACCATTTGAACCTATCATTCCATTGAGTAGGATTTCCTAGTCTCCTTTTTTTGTATGCCAATGTCCCTTGTTTGGGAAGAATAATATTGGATCCTTAATCGAGAGTTTTCTCAAGCCCTAGGGCTTGAGATGTAATTAACCACGGGGGCTTGCGCCCGTGGGAAACGAAACTCCACAACAAATAAACCCCATTCGAGCTGTTGTATCGGGTGGGGGAAACCCGTGACTGTGATCAGGTCGTGTATATTACTACCTATCGGGGTGCGCTGGCGAGAGCCGCTATCCTCAATAGCTAGTCGTATGCACGATCCAATCTATCCATTCCAATTGACCCGTTTGCGCGGTGTTCTTTCGGAGGTCCACACAATGTCTTCTTCTCTGCATTTGACTCTTGTTTTTGCAATACATTGTTGCATTTTATCGCAATCATTGACATATAGAAAGTGATATTTCTATCTTTTTCTTAAGTACCAAAAAATATATGTACTTTTTTTCAAAGCATAGTGGAATATTAGATCCTTGTGTGACTATGGACAAGGGTAAGCATCACCGAATATGTATCTTGTAATTGTTATCTTTATTGTGGTCATCCTTCATCTTCATCTAACTTTCTCAAAATTTTATCACTAATCTAACAACTCGTATCAAAGCTATTGATTAAACTATATAAAAGTTTGAGCAACGGATGACAGAAAAGCTATGTTGCACCGATACTCCTATTTACGAAGGAATGTTGTGTTGGACACGTGTCGGACACAGATACGTGTCTGATACGGAACGGATACGTGTCGGACACAGCTTTACCATACCCAATTAAATAACTATTTATATTAGACAAGATACGCGTATCCTGTTAAACCCAAAAAATGATGGAGCCTATTCATTTCCGCTTCTGCAACCCGCTCTTATTTCTGTCTGCAACTACGATGGAGCATTTTAGAGACCAGTTCTTCGAGTTAGGGTTTCGAGCAGCTCTGCATGGTTTTCGTCGAAGGAACATCACACAAGCAGGAAACCGACGGAGTAGTGAAGCTGGCGAGGCGATGCAAGGAGTGAAGCCGATGATTCGACTCGAGCATTAGGCGACAGAGGAACACCAAACGAGCCCGTCCCTTTCTTCGTTTTCATGTTTCTTTGTTTTATTTATTTTCTTCATCTTCTTCGTCATCCTTTTTATAGAAAAATTTTTTATTAGTTTTTATTTTCATGTAGAGATTTTCT